ATCTCCCAATATAAAATTTAAAACATAAAAAATAGTGTAGATTGAACAGATCTATGCGTACTTGAAAAATTTAAAAATTGACACTCTTGATAATGTATTATAGGACGCACTATTTCCAAGTCTTTAAATTCATTTTTTCTCATGTCTATAAATGATGAGGTCGAGATGATTGATTTGAGGAATGTTGAGCATAAAGTGAATTTTTGATGTGCCCCTTAATTTAATTGTTTAGAGCCTCCCCTTATACAAAGTTTTTTCCATCACGGGTTAATTGCACGCAAACCGAATATATTTGGGTGGGGATACTTCCTAAAGCCGTCAAAAACCCGAAGAGAGGTAAAAAAAGCATCTCCAAAAAGCATAATCGCCCAAACTGAATGAGTTTGGGTGCATCTGCAAAAAGCATAAACGCCATAAACATGTAATAAAGAATACGATAAAGTGTTTTAATGCCTGAAATATCAGAGCATTCCAAGTTTCTTAGAATGAACATTTTTTGCAATCACAATGAACGTGTTTGAGTGCCCTAAAAGCATCAGATATGAAAAGAAAATTACCACAAAAGAATCATGGAAATGAAAAATATATAAAAATTAAGACAAGCAAAAAAAGGTATTGAAAAATCATGAATATTTTGTGATAAATCATTAATAAATTATGGAAGCTAATAATAATGCAAAAAAAAAAAACCATGCTAAAACAAAATAAAGTTTTTTGTTTATGTTTTGCAAATGATTTCTAGCTTTTTTTAAAATATAAAGTTCAAAATTAGGGGTGGCAATGAACCCAGACTTTACCCATACGTGCTTGGTATACCCGACATGGATCCAGGTATGGGTCCAAGTTTTTGACCCATGGGTAGGGTTCGGGTCTAATAAAAGATACTCAAATAGTCTCGGGTCTGGGTATGAGTCCTGCTATACCCGACTAGGTGGGTACCTAGACCCGAATTCTTAGTTTACCCAAAGGCCAAAGCCCCTACCCTAAAATCGTTTCAATGCTTTTCGTCTTCTCCAAGTTCCCCAAACAGCCAAACCCCATCGCTATCCTCCCTCTCTGCAATTTTCCTTCTCTAAGTTTCTTGAAGACATGGCTATCTCTCTGCATCTCAAATGTCTCTCTCTAATCGCCCGCTCCTCAAAAATTAGTTCTCTATTGTTTACCATTATAGGCTACAAAAAAGCAAGCTCATAGTGAGGGTGGCAATGGACCCGACCAGACCCGGGACCCGACAAAATTGACCCAAGACCCGATGGATATGGGTATGGGTCCAACTTTTGGACTCGACTGATTGGGTCTGGGTCCAAAACTTGGACCCGAATACATCCAGGTTTGGGTCCGGGTCCGGGTCCAACCGGACCGGACCATACCTAACCCATTGCCACCCCTATTCAAAATCAGATAAATATTACATGTTCGGACTCTTGTTTAGCAAATAAAAAGCTACCGCCTAGATCAATGTGGATCTAAATTAATTTGAAAAAAACCAGAAATATTTTTTATTTTATAATACAAAAAGTAACAATTTGTATTATAATGCAAAATTTATATTTTTGATTCAAATTTACTAAATATGAACAATGCAAAATACTAGTTGTGGATCAACCCTAAATCTTTTTTACAAATCCACAAAAATCCCTCAATCTTTGACCAAACTACTTTGTGGAGATAAGAGGCACGATAATGTCTCAAGAGCTCAAATTTGGGGTCTTGATGGCTTGGTATCCCGAAATTTGCAACTTTAAACTCTTATTTTGCTCCAATGAAATAAAACGAAATAATATAGTTGGTCAAGCTTTGTCTGACTTACGCAGGATTAACAAAACTGGGTAAATCCGATTACGAAGTAGCATGTTTCCCATTGTGAACCGGGCTTAATTAGTTAGCGTTGACGATTTGCAACACTATATCTTAGGCTCAATTCCTATCAAGGATATTCGGGTTCTCTCCCCAACTCAGGAAAAAAAATAAAAAAAAGGCTAAAAGTAGAGAGGTTTCAATTTAGCAAGTTGTGATTCTCCAAAGCTAATTTTTTTATAAGTTTGGATTGAATTTGAACCGATTTGCTTATCACTGTTATATTTAATATTTGAATTTTAATTTTTTTTATAAATCCAAATCAGTTGAAATTTTGAGTGATCACTCTTTTCATTAAGATGTGCTTAAATTTTTTTAAAAAGATCATTCACAAAAAATAAATTTGCTAAAATACCAAATCTTCTAAACTTCAAGTGCTCTAGATTTGTTAAATAAAATAAAAATTCAAAACTAAACCACGATTGTAGTTGTCCGATCAGCCCATATTCAATCTGGACCCTAAACTTATACTATTGCATCAACCTTTAGATCGACATAGTCTTTTTCTATATGGAGAGAAATACCTACCATGTAGATTTTTATGGTTGCGATTTTATATGGAGATGATTTTACAACCCAAGCATGGTGGCATACTAGCAGTTTGAGACTCTATTTGGCCACCCATTATGCCATGAATTTTTTGGATGGATTATTAAAAATTTAGGTGCCAAGAATAGGCCCCTAAAAAAACGCTCACTTGTGATGTGTTAATTTAAGAGTTAAAGTTTGTTAAACCACATGAAGTTATTAAATTATATGTTTGGTAAGTTGGTTTTTACGTGGCAGCAACAACAAATGCCTTCCCAATGAGCCCATGTCATTCTTTTATTCTAAAGAATTGAATGGAGACATGATTTAACTTGATTTGGCAAAAGATGCTTAAAGAAATGCCATGAGAATGTATACCTTCTCAAATATATTCATTTGAATAAATTTAAAGAATAAAGTATTAACAAAGGGGTTCATTTGAGGATGTACTTTCCTATACATATCTATTTGGTAATCACACAAACATAAAAGTATGGAAAAAGTTTATATAAGGGTGAAGCCTTAAACAATCAAATTAATGCACATATCAAAAATTCATTAGAAGAGGTTATTTCGATGCTGAAAAACCCTCAATTCGATCATCTCAACCTCTAGATGCATGCACATGAGAAAAAATAGATTTCAAAATGTGGAAATAGTACATCTTGTAATGCATTATCTAGACTGTCAATTTTCAAAATTTTCAAGTGTTCATAGATCTGCTCAATCTACATTATTTTTTAACATTTAAATTGTATAATTCAATATAAAAAATACATTTTTTAAGGTCTTCATAAAGATTTTTTATTCTGAAATAACATATTCCAACACTATTTGAAAGTGTTGCCTTATTTTGATTGTTTAGGGGCTCATCCTCATACAAACCACACATTTAAACTAAACCAATGACCCTCAAAATAGTGTGTAAAAACCATTCTTAGAAAAATCAGTTCGGTTAGCTCGAAACCACTAGGGTTCCAAGTTCAGGTAGGAGTGGTTTTGGGGATCTCCTAGCCTAGGTTCAACCTCATAAAATTTTAGGCCCAAAACCAACCGATTAAGAGTCAAATCAGCAGTGTTTTGGTCAAACCAGTTAGAGAATATAATGGGTTTTATGACAAATAACGGTACAATTAAAATAATTATGTTATTTTCAATTGAAGCCATTATTTGATGCAGGAATTCACAGTTTGATTTTTTCAAGTTTTTTTATTCTTTTTCTTGCCATTTTTTGGCATTTTTCATGCTTTATAGTTGTAAAACACTATTTATTCTCTATAAACAAGCAAATTCGAATCGAAGATTGAAAAATCAAGAAATGTTTTGGATTGAAATGATGGATTTTTGAAATTCCACAATTTCATCAATATCATCTTCAATAGTCAATGGTTTTTGCTGAAATTTGAGGGTTTTTAATCCTATTTGAATCATCTACCAAATACATCTTTCAATTTGGTCAAAAAACATAATATTGGAGGTTGATTTTGGCTCGAAAAGCTGGTACTCAAAGAACTTGTATTTGATGAAAAAAAAAAAAAAAGATTTTGGATCGATGTTTTGGTCTTTTGTTTTATCAAAATGATTTACGTATTTTGATCATCAAAGCTTCATCTGTCACATAAAAGAGGTATGCTTATTTATTATTGAGTAAATATTTTTATATAAATTCTTTGATTGCTCGATTTCACAAATCTGAATTTTTCATGATTTTTTCAGTTAAATAAAAAATAACAAATATTTTTTTTATGATTTTTGGTGCATTTGAATGAGTGGTCAAAGCCCTTATCGTGCTTGTGTATTGATTTGTTCGATTATCTGAATATTGAGGGTCGTTTTTTGCTTAAAATGTTGCTCGATTTTAAAAGTTTTTGAGAAATTAAGTTTTCAAAAAAATTTATTTTTCTTAATAAAAATATTATTTTTGATAAATATAGAAAGTGTTTTTCGATTTTTATTAATAAAAGAATATTTTTTTGATAAAATTATTTATTTTGATAAAAATATGTTGTCTTGATTAATATGACAAAACCTATATTTATCGGTCTCTCTACCTTGTGACATATTATCTTTTACCGATGAAATTCTAGATAGACATTTAAAAAGTTGGTAGATCAATTTCTTTTCCATTGTTTCTAATTATGAGGGGCTACGTAAACATATATGTGTGCTTATATTTTTTAGTAATAAACATAGACTAATGCAATGTTTATGTATCACTTAAATATCTAGAGTGCATATTTACATTAAGGTAATATACTTGTGGTAAAGTTTTGTAAACTTATTATCATATTTCATTCTAAGAAACAAAAAGATTCAGGTGACTTGTTTGAGATCATGTATAGGGCCATAGTATTCAAATATTAATTTATATAAAAAGTTGTTTTAATTTTTTTTTAAAGATAAATATATGTAATAAGATATTATACACTTAATTTAAATTTTTTTATTAATTTTTTTAGAGTTTTAAAAAAAAATATATCCGCTTGGCCAGTTAGTCCGATTGACCGACGCCGGCTCTAACCTCTCCTATCAATGTCCCGATTCAATTTTGCGAACACTGGTAAAAAAAAAAAACAATGACCTCGAAACAAAGGAAGCCAATGGTGAATGCAGCAATCGATTCCCATTCCTTAAGCCCCAAGACTTGTGCCCAGCGGCAGTGCCGCCAGGGTTAGGGTTTTTCATTTCAAACTTTAAACTTTACAGTACACTCAAGTCAATACCAAATAAAATTTTCCTTTTTTTTTTAACTTCGAAGAAGAAACATAAACGAAAAATAGAAAACATATGAGATTTGATAGTGGGTTGCAGAATATTGGAAGCTTGTGCTTATGCCCAACCCAAATCAAGAGTATTATGACCCGGTGCTCTCTCTAATCTCTGAATCTCCAAAGTTAGACAAAGGTTGGCCACCCAAGCCAAAACCACCTCCAAAAGCTCCAGTAAAACCAGATCCCCCTCCATTGCAGCCATGATTTGACCAAAGAAAGAGATGGGTTTTTCTGGCCTCCTCCAAATCTGCTGGTTTCTGGTTTTCTTTCTAGTGTTTGCGAGCTCCGACCTCCTGGTTTACAAGGGCTGCTCAAAAAGGAGCTTTCAAGGCAATGGAGCTTTTGAGCAAAACCTCAATGTCCTGCTTCAATCTCTGGTTTCTCAATCTGAAGCCACCTTGTTCTTCAAATCCACTTCTGGGTCAGGCCAGAATGCCATTTTAGGTTTGTTTCAGTGTAGAGGTGATCTCTCTAATGGAGAATGTTACCGTTGTGTGAGTTCGATCCAAAGCCAGGTGTTCGAGCTTTGCGGTAAGACCATGGCTGCAAGGGTTCAGTTGCAGGGTTGTTATTTACAGTACGATAACCCTAATTATCCTGAGATCTCATCAAGCAATATGCTTTTCAAGACCTGTAACAATATTCAGGTATCAGATGACGGTTTTGTACAGAGGAGAGAAGCAGTTTTTGCAGATATAGAGAGTGGCTTAACAAATGGACATGGGTTTTATAAGGAGAGTTATGGTGGGATTTATGCCTTTGCTCAGTGTGAAGGGGATTTGGGGGTCGCTGATTGTGGTGAGTGTGTCAAAAACGCCATTAATGAGGTGAAAAGGCAGTGTTATGATGGGATTTCAGGTGGGGTTTATATGCCCAAATGTTATGTCACATACTCTTATGGCTCTTCTGGTTCGAGATCCGGTTCACCAGGTACAGGTTTCCATTTGATTTAACAGGGGAATTACTCTCTCTCTCTCTCTCTCTCCATTGAAAAATTATAGCTTTTACATGGGCTCCCAGCATCTGTTTGTTAAGAGAACCAAATCATCAGTATTTTTGGTCTCTCTATGTTCTAATGGAAAATTATCTTTCTTAATCGATCTTCTCTCTCATAACCCCTTCCTCACACCTGAAAATTACCAGCTTTCTCTCTCCCTCCCTCTCTCTCTCTATTTTAGAGAGAGAAACCCATCTCTTTTTTATTGCTCTATCTGTAATTTTAATGGCACTCTCTCTCTCTCTCT